CTGCTCAGCAGATCCTTTAAACGAAATTTCGGGCTGCGAGCAGGCTACTCCTGTGGCTTAGGCCCTTTAATTAATAGGTTAATAATATGCATGAGTTAACTGACATTTCCTGATATGTGGAGTGGCTTTGGTAAGGGTATAATAATACTGCAATTCAACATTGTCAAATGTCAGGGCATCAATTGCAATCACTACTAGTAAAATTTAAATAAACGTCTTTCTCATTTATACTTCTCACTTAATTAATAACGTGTGCGACACTTCAGTGAACAAAACTATTAAAGCAATATAGAATTTTTCACAACATTTAAGGACGTTAAGTCATCGATGGTCTAATTTTTGGTAAAAGCCTACAATTTCATAGCTAAAACTGTCACATACAGTGTAAATAAACGAAAGTTTATAAATACAGCTTCTTTCAACTTTATTCACCTGCTGTTTCGAGATCAGATATTGAAGCTACTCACCTTACATTTTCCCTCGACACTATCTTGCTTTTCACAATACGAAATTGGAGCTAAACCAGGCAAGTAAAAACCCTCTGTTGTATGGAGAAACAACAGGTAAAACATCCATGCATAAGAAAGTTTCAATACCCTCATAATTGTTAAGCTTTGCTGAAATAAACCTTATATAAAATTTTACAGAAAACAAGAACAACAATCTAAATGGAGCATGCTGGGTAAAGTAGCCACGTAGCCAATGACCCGCACAGTAAGGACACCCGATAAAATTAGGGTGGTTCTCTAATATCTTCTACCAGAGAACTCTGATCTTCTACAATCTTTGGCAAAAACTATGAAACATCAAACATTTCACACAATTTGAAAAGCGTAGCACTCGTTCCCCAGATGTATAAAGAAATGGTGTAATACGTCTGAATGCATGTAAAAACTAGATTGTTCCAATGTATATATTGTCAAAGATTGTCAATGTAACCTCGCAGGGACGCACCTCCGGAGGGTCGTTTCCATGGCCACGGGGCAAGTCGTTGAGTGATTGGATAATTTTACTATTTCTGTTCACAAGATACGACAAGTTCCATGACTCCATGGAGAATGTTGAAGGATTTTGTTGGCACATGAAAATTAATTTAGCGGGAAAATTATACGCATATTTTTAGCCCTTCTTTCCTCAATTTCTTTCTCTAAATTTGCGCTTCAGCAGGAATTTAACTAGGTGGTCCTGCGATTCCTGTGCAGTGTTCTGAATCAATAATGTCTCTGGGGAGCTTAATTATATGGAGGATTTACTCGAATAGAGACACCAATTTTTACTAACTTAACCACACACCTGGAAGGTGAATATAGGTGCGTATATGAATACAACAAAGTCTAAGCTATCAATGATAGACATGCATCTCACCGATAGAACTATATAAATGTTGAAGAGTTTTCGAAGATTTTTTTGCGAATGTCAAAGCAAAAGACTGTCAAAGCCCCCCCCCCCCACCCCAGCCGTAATACCGAAGTTTCGGCCTTGGCATTACTGTCCACTTTCCTCTGCAACGCTACTATTCCAACGTTACCATTATTTAAGATGGTCGAATCCGCATGTTCACCGTTCTGTTACATTTTACATTATCTTTTGTTCATAAAGTTTATATCGGCTTTTTATCACGTATACGTAATGTGTGACTGGACAGTTGCTGTACTAGGCGCAGTACAGTAAATTTGCTTGTTAAAGAACAGTATATTTGAAAATATGGCTGTGTAACAACCTCGACATGTTTACATATTTAATCATGATATTTACAGTGAAAATACAAAAAGTGTCCCACTTGCTCTTCTGTATATATAGTTTGTTGTGATTTACTGTAATTTGTTCTGTTTTTCTGTAGCGATTCCAGACTTATTGGCAAATACTGAGGGGATAAAATTTAAATTTCGTACCTTTTATGCAATGAAACTAACGAAAAATGTGTTATTTCCCTTTGATAAAAATTATCATATTCAAAAATAAAGAAAACTAAGTTTTATCGCAGCATTTGCCGATAATCGCTACAGAAAAACAGAACAAATTACAGTAAGAAATGGATACGCGCTATAACAGTAGGAGATCCGCTAATCGCTATTCGAAAAGCAGAAAATGTATGTCAAGCAGATGTTTTTTATGGTGGTACTGCTGGACAGGCGACTGGTTCTAGACACTAGGTGGGGTGCGCACCTCCTTAATGCACTCCCATGGTTGATCCGCCACTGCCTCGACAGCACCATAGATCTTGCGGAGGAAGAAAAAGCAAGCGAAGAATCCGATAGTTCCTGCCAAATAAAATAAGAAATTTATTCAAACATTCAAGTGTTGTCAGGCCGATTTACATCCACCTTGATATTTGAAAATATGCGGGAAACGTGAATTGACGTCATTATTAGGTGATAAAATTCGTCCTTAACATTCAGCAAGACATAATCCCCGAGCCGGCGGCGCGAAGCGCCGTGCGAGGGTACTAATTCCCCCCGGCTATTTACACCCGGGGAAACGAAAGCATTAGCGAAGTCTAAAGTTCATCAATGAGCGCGGGCGTCGGTCACCAACGATGGGTGGTCATCCCAGTGAACTCTAATAATAACAAGAGTTATTATTAGAGTTCACTGGGTCATCCTCACTGATCTCAAAAATATGGCGGACTGTCATGAATAACGGACACGTTTGCATTATAACGACTGCATGACGACAGCGAAATAGCAAACATTTCTTGATTTGATGAGTTGATGATTGATAAATTTCTTGCAAATATTCTTCATTTTTGCTCGTATTTCTGCAAGATTTTGTAAATTTCAAGAAAGAAAGGGCGAAAGAATCAGCTAAAAGAAGGGAGCCGACGTTAATGCATGAGTCAATTCCTGGAGTAACCATCCCCCCCCCCGGGACACCCCCGGGTATTTGCCCGATAGACAGTTCACGGGGGTCGGGAATTTGCCTTTCATATATGTGCACGGGGGCCGGGTATTGGAGGACCCCGGGGATTTGACAAATGGTTGCCCAGAATCCCACCCACAAATTTTAAGGCAGCAAAACCTAGTTTCAGGCAAGCGCGATCGTGGTTTGCGCCCTCGTGGTCAAGGTGGCGTGAAATTTATTGTAAGAATAAGCGAAAATTATACCCTCTGCCATGCAAATTTAAATACAGATACTAAAGGTTTATGTTTTATAATATTCCATAGCAGTTTAATACTATAATGTTATTAAATGACTATGATTATATGCCTTTAAAAGTTTAATTAACGTTTACAGTCGATTTCACGAAACTTTGACCACAAAATTTCCGAACTTCGTTGCGAAGTTCACAAGATTGTTGCGAAGTTCGAAAGTTCATAATGAGATTCACAAACCAGTTCGTAAACTACGCATTTGATTGGCTTATTTTACTTCACGGATCAATCAGGTACTTTTTTTACAAATTGGCTTGTGAATTCCAATATGAGCTTCCGAACTTCACAACGAACTTGCGAACTTCGCAACGAAATTCGGAACATTTGTGGTCAAAGTTTCGTGAAATCGACTGTAAAATCGTCCCCGGGGTGGGGCATTTTCCACTCTCAGCTTGCCCTGGGGCCGTGCATTAGTCTTCAAGTTGTGTCCCGGCACCCGGGCATTTACACTGTCATAACCAATCTAATCAAATTCCCGGGTGTGTTCCCGGGGGGGGGATGGTTACTCCTGGAATTGACTCATGCATAACGAAGGTAAGTTTGTTTTAAATATTGATTTTATAATGACTTTAAAACCCGACGGCCTTTGCGTATATGAAACAACTAAACAAGACAGCATATAATTTCAGTGTATCTTTAATATTGATTCCCTTTTCTATTATATTGAATTTTTTAAATAAAAAACAAAGCAAACTTATTTGCAAGCGAGAATTTGAAATCATTTTATTGCAAACTCAAAGTTTATCGATAAAGCCATTTAATAGTTAAAGAACACTTTAAAACGTTTTGTGAATTGTTTGTGGTTGAATTTTACATTAAATTGAAGCTCGTATTACATATAATTACATACCTAACATATATATGTTGGGAAATTGATAATTTTGTAATTAAAAGTGATATTTTTAGGCGATTTTCATTTGTAAGAATATTCTTAAAAAATTATCGTGTTACCATGATAACTACTTTAGATACTTCATGTTCGGAAAATACAACGGTTTGTCAGCAAGGCGAGGGTTTCTGCATGCATGTATTTTCTAGTATATTATCGGCTTGACAAATCGCTGTTTTGTACATAACCATTATTCGGCCTGGTAGGAAAACATTATGTGATTTGCTTACGAATTAAAATTTGTAGCCTACCAGGGCTCGAATTTTATCGCGGCAATTGCCGTAGAGGGAGAACAAAATGCCGTGCATCATTGCGGCAACGACGGCAATTTTTTGCCGTATAGTGCAATTTTTATACTTTTCACTGTGCATTACTATTTTGATACTTGAATTCAGATGTTGACCAAATCATGCGTAAATCACTATTTTAGTTTCAGTTTTCTTAAAAAAAACACTAAAGAAATACGTAGACATGTTTCTAGCTTGTCAAAAATCCAAAGTAACAATAAAAGTTTTATTACAGTAATTTGAAAAATGCCGTGAAAACTGTCAAAATTGCCGTAGACAGCTGTTACGTTCTACGGCAATTTTTAACGCCATTGCCGTCGATTCATTTCAGGGAAATTCGACGCCTGTAGCCTACCAATTCTTTCATGCATGGTTAAAAAATTATTGTTACAATTTGGTTACACAGTTGTTCATCTATAACTGAAACGCTTTCACAAGTTATTCGGGGGTGGGGGGGGGGAGGGTGTTGGGCGGTTGCCCTCTAGTTTCCACCACTGTTTGTAAAATCCATCTCCAATTCATAAATTCACGAACCAAAAACTATGAAAATCAACACCATCAACGACTCGGTTTTCAAAAACCCCAGCCATGCCATAGTTGCAATGTTCTACAACTGGTATTTACGCCAAAACGAGTCCTTACGAATGGGGAGGGGGAGGACTTCATACAAAATAACCCGACCGTTTGGACACGCATGCAGGTAATGTTAATACAGAGTTATATACATATAAGATAGAGCTACAGTATACTATATAATAATATACGTAGAGCTATACTACGCTACTGTATAATATATACATAGAGCTATACCTCTGGAGCTATACTACGCTACTGTATAATATATACATAGAGTTATACTATGCTATACTGTATAATATATACATAGTATGCACGAACGTGAACTACCCGAAGTTGTGAATTGGGTATAAACAAATTTTGTCTATTTTAGGCCACACAAAATAAATTCCTTAATTCTCATCACCGCCCGACTGTATTTTAAAGAGCCGCGTGAAATTTTTTATATTTTGTTATATATATAAATGTAGGCTACCGCACGACAAAATATTTCAAAACAGTTAAGTTTTTTATAATTTATATTGGACTTTTAGCGTCATTTTAAACTGCCAATTTCAAACAGAACCTTGAAAGAAATTTCATTGCATTTTAAAGGAACTTCGCATTTAGTTCAAGGGTTCAGTCATTATTCGTGGATATATGTTGGAGATGACAGAAATGTGTAATGTAATATGCTTATTTACGTTTGTTGATATATATAAATTATATAAATTTAAAATTTAAACCTTCCACCTATTCGACATTTTCAAAGTGTAGTGATGAGAATCAAGGAATTTATTTTATGTGGCCTTACGCAAGACGTCGTCAATTGCAACATATTTCCTTTAATACCTGTGTAGAGGAAGAAGAGTATAACCATAATGGAAGTATACCCGAAGTATAAGACTGAGCTGGTAGTTCCAACTATAGTCAATTTATGGAAATAATAGATTGAATACATGAAGAAATATATTGCTGTACATGCACCGGTAAGGTAAGACCTCCACCACCAATGATAGTCCTACGAAGACAACACAAGGTTAGAAATATGTTTTTTATTTAGGCTTACTTTAAAGTACTACTGCAACAATATTTTTGACTTACTTTTTTAGCTTAAATAAATACATTCCATACTTATACCTGCTTGTCACAAACGGAATTTTATATTGGCCTATTCAAATTGATTTTTTGCACTTTCTGTGCGAAGTTTTGTTCCGCAATGTTGATGCCCGGATGTCATACAGTTGAATATAAGTTGAATCGTCGTCAAACAAACGATAAGGTATGGAACTTGTGATTTTCTGGGGGGAAATGTACATCTGGCAAAATTCCACAGCGATATGTTCAAGCGCTATATAATTCTCTACAAATGCCCTTCACTCTTCAGCCTTCGTATATCAGTTCAACTTATGACGTCACACGGCATCGTCATGGTGGCGAATCAGAGACGAATGAAGTTCGCATGCGATATCCAATTTGGTGGCCGGACATTTTGCCGAAAGGCACTTTTCCGAAAGACATTTTGCCGAAAGACATTTTGCCGAACGGACATTTTGCCGACGGACGTTTTGCCGAACGGACGTTTTGCCGAACGGACATTTTGCCGAATGGACATTTTGCCGAACGGACAGTTTGACGAACGGACATTTTGCCGAAAATAGAGATATCTTCTGAACTTTAAAGGTTCGCTGCTTACACGGTCAAAGTTTCTGTGATTAAAGTCATTATAATTGTCGATTTTGATGACAGAAACTTTGATAGTGAGGTATAGTTTCGTTTTATATTCTTTCACGTTTTTGACAAGTTTACCGAAAATTCGCGATATAAAGAATAACATCATTCAACATCATTCATGAATGTGATTTCCCCGAGAACTGTGAATGTATTCCACGATTCTCGAAGTGAAATTCGCTTACGTCATCTTTATATACGCTCGTTTGTTCACGATCTGACGTCAAAACACGTTCCTAACAAATGAGTCATCCGCTGCACAAACAAGCTACCAATAGTCAATATGGTTATGCACTGCTAACAACCGTTATGCTCTGCTAATGACCACTATGCACTGCTAATGACCATATAATGGTTATTTTACACAATGGTTGAGAATTACACAGCGGTTGAGAAATGAGTCACAGTCCCAAACTTTTGACGAAATAACATCTTTATTTTCGGCAAGTTGTTCTTTCGGCAAACTGTCCGTTCGGCAAAATGTCCGTTCGGCAAATTGTCCGTTCGGCAAAACGTCCGTTCGGCAAAATGACCGTCGGCAAAATGTCCGTTCGGCAAAATGTCTTTCGGCAAAGTGTCTTTCGGCAAAGTGTCTTTCGGCAAAATGTCCGGATACCATCCAATTTGAGAGGCAAAATGTGGCAAATTCTTGAAACATCGTATGACGGTCAAATATTCGTCAAATTGTTTCTAAAAACCTTAATTTAATTAAAGGAAAAAGTATAGGTCAAGAAATTCGTTGCAGTAGCACCTTAAACACCACTTTTTCAAATAAATGAGGTCCATCGTAGGAGAATTTCAGTAATTTCATTTCAATAAAAATTCACCATAGGACGAATAGTCTAGCCTTTGATACTTAAATGTGCACAGCGTTAGAATTCAACAGTTCTACTCCTTACCTCGGCACACAGATGGAAGTAGCAAAGAAGAATAGAAGTTTCTGATATTGTTATCATCAGCATTGTGGAGGCAAGCAAAAGAAAACCAAACATGTAATATATTTGATGCGACCTTTACAACAAAATAAAAGATTATGTTATATTACTGTGTATGGAGCACATTGGTACTGAGCGTTCTTTACGAACAAGAGAAAGTGCCCTATCTGCATGCTCTCCTGTAACACTTAATGAAAGGACGAAACCCATCCCTTGTTTTACAACTATCTGGATTCCCGTAACTACAATCTAACAACAACTCCTTAGTCCTCTCTAACATAAAAAACATTTTCTACCCAATTTTGAACCAAGATTACTTTCAACCATAGCAGGAAATAATAGTGGATCCTGGCATCTAGGATCCCAGGACATTTTCAGACCTGGCTTAGTTGGCAGAAAATTTTAGGGCATTGCATAATGCTAACACAAGCACAGGAAATAATTAATTAGGAAGAATATTAGTGAGCTCGGCAGAAAACCTTGACTCCAAAACTTAGGAACCCAAAAACCAAAATATTATTTCTTGCTATGCATTCGATAATAGAATTTACAACGATGATTTGGGCTCACCAGATGCTATTGAGGATAAAGAAAAGCTGAATGAAGATACAACCAAATGGCAAAACACCTATGGTTATTCCGAAAACTGCGTGTCTGTAGAACCTCTAGCAACATAGAACAATAAGATGTTAAAATACATACACATGTATTTGATGTCTTGAAAAAACAATCAATATTAGTAGTAATTCACCTGGCGGAATTAATAATGAGGGTGCAAAATCTATGACGTCACATTGTTCAGATAGCTGGCGGAATTTATAATGAGCTTGCAAAATCTATGACGTCACTTTGCCGGGCAAGCCTGGGCCAAAGGTGACAGGTAACGAGACCAATTAGCATTTCAATACAGTAACGCGACCAAACACAATAAGGTAACGCCGTGAAAACATTCCATCGTGATTGTTGAACACAGACTGTACATGTGAAGGACGCTATCTGTCAGACCTCAGTCTCCTTGGCATATATACGTCACAATAGGGTAACGTGTTTAATTTCAATTTAATTTCGATTGCATTTAACGTCCCTGTTTTTAAACTCAATCGGAGAGTTTATACACAAACAGTCTTAGTTGTAATATTTTTTGGCATGAAATAATCAATGTATTTTCACAAAATACTGTGTTGTGTTGCTACAGTATGTGTTGATAAGTCATTAGACGACAAGTCGACGAAGGTTAAGGTAATTAAGGGATTAGGCTAACAGTGATTTGGAATGGAAGAGGAGAAATCGTTTACAGAGGACATAATATACGAGAAACTAACATTGTAGACCTTCTGAAATATTGTGTGACGCCTTATCATCCAGATATTCCCGAACTAACTGGATTGAGCATAAACAAAACTAGTATTGTTCGATGCTGAATTAATATAAACGAGTATGTTTATGACATTCAGTATATATTTCATAATTTCCAGTCTTAAAAATCGTTCTGACCGTATAGCTCAGTTGGTAGAGCGTCGATCTAGTAATTCGAAGGTCGCGGGTTCAAGACCCAGCCGCGGCAGACAACATCTTTCTGCTTGCGCTAGGTATGGAAATTATATAATACACACTCTAGAACATTTTCATCTTAACATATTACGGAGTGTACAATTACACAACTTATATATATATATATGTGTCAGCATCAGATTGTGTGTCCTGACGCGACCACTTGTGGGCTAACACAGTGAGGACAGGTCCATTTACGATTAGGCTTTTATCAATTTCCAATTGTGCAAGACCTTTTATAAATATGCTCAATCCAGTTGGTTCGGGAATATCTGGATGATAAGGCGTCACACAATATTTCAGAAGGTCTACAATGTTAGTTCCTCGTATATTATGCCCTCTGTAAACGATTTCTCCTCTTCCATTCCAAGTCAAAATTCCCGTAGACGTTAAAATAGAACGAAGGATTTCTTCGGCTTCGTGTTCATCATCATGTCTTCAAGTCTCCATTGTTCGGGAGATGATCGTTTGTCGCTATCCATGATTGGAATGAGGAATTGACCTTAATGCTAATTATTTTGTTCTAATTCTGCAGGCCCTTCTAAAAGTGGTCCAAGTACCAATCCTAGAAAGCCACTTCCTCGCTGAACAAGATTTCCTTTTTCGTTCTAAAACTTCTACTTCTGTCCACTAGATCAGCTAAATCTTGTTTGAAAGGTCTGAGTTTGTCCTTCAATTCTTTTGAGTATGTGAAATTTTCTATACAATGACACAAGCATCGAATTTGCTCAGCTGATGCAGAATTAAGAAGAGCTTGCTGTTGAGTTGGATGAGAATGTACATAAGAGCTCTACAAAAGGCCTGTACACATCAAAGTACGTCATCTCTATTCGAGAGTTGGAGACAAAGTGGTTCATTTACTCGAGAAACATGACTTTAAAAACGTTTTTGCGAATATAGATTGAATTGTTGAATTCTAAGATTGAATCATTGAATCCTAGATTGAATCATTGAATCCTAAGATTGAATCATTGAATCCTAAGATTGAATCATGGAATCCTAAGATTGAATCATTGAATCCTAGATTGAATCATTGAATCCTAAGATTGAATCATTGAATCCTAGATTGAATCATTATATCCTAAGATTGAATCATTGTATCCTAAGATTGAATCATTGAATCCTAAGATTGAATCATTGAATCCTAAGATTGAATAATTGAATCCTACATTGAATCCTAAGATTGAATAATTGAATCCTAGATTGAATCATTGAATCCTAAGATTGAATCATTGAATCCTAGATTGAATCATGGAATCCTAGATTGAATCGTTGAATCCTAAGATTGAATCATTGAATCCTAAGATTGAATCATTGAATCCTAAGATTGAATCCTAGATTGAATCATTGAATCCTAAGATTGAATCATTGAATCCTAGACTGAATCATTATATTCTAAGATTGAATCATTGAATCCTAAGATTGAATCATTGAATCCCAGACTGAATCATTATATCCTAAGATTGAATCATTGTATCCTAAGATTGAATCATTGAATCCTAAGATTGAATCATTGAATCCTAAGATTGAATAATTGAATCCTACATTGAATCCTAAGATTGAATAATTGAATCCTAGATTGAATCATTGAATCCTAAGATTGAATCATTGAATCCTAGATTGAATCATGGAATCCTAGATTGAATC